CTTGTTACTACAGCTATAGGAAGAGATGAGCACTGTACCAACTGTCAAGATGAGTGATGTCCCCTCATACCCTATTGCTTTTGTTTTTAAAAACAAAGAAAATTGTTTTAGTTCATAGAAAAACCCCATTTCTGAACTAGTTCAAAATTATTGGTGGTCTCCCATAAGACTGTCCTTGTAAATTCCATGGAACAAGAAGAATATCCATAATAAACTTACAGACTACATGCACTGAGCCTAACAGAGCAAATGCAGAAGTGTATCTTACTTGACAGATCCCTCAATACCAAGAAATTATCAGGTTAGGTGGACAAACCAATTTCTTCATGTCAGCTGCATACATAAAGCAGTGGGGGATAAATTAATTCATATTTTCAGTGGCATCATGCTTGATGGACTAAAGACACCACCAGATGAAAAAGTGATCCAGTGGAATACATTCAGATACTCTACAGATGCAGGTAGTTCAAACAAATGGTAAAGGATTCTATGTTTTCTGCTGATTTTACTCCTGGAAAGCAAAAGATAAATCTGTTCCTCTGTAGAAAAAGATAAATGGATCATAACGAAGCAAGTCCTCCCTTTCTTGCCACCTCCTAGAGGCCAAACAACACCTCAAGGGTATTCCAAAAGGCATTGATCCTTTTGGAAGTGTAAAACTCAAAACCACTCATATCTCTCTGAAAACTCCTTCACTAAAACAAGAGTTCTGAAGTCAAAGCCAGCAAAATTCCTACACTGTAGAATCTGTGGATTTGTGTTACAATGTAACAAGTAACACAAACTCAAACCAGACCAATTTTCTTCTGGTAGCCCCAAAACAAGTTACGGATCAACAGATGCGCCACAAAAATGGTATGAAGACACAATAAAATTATCTTTTGGTTATTCTGAGCAGCACAAATTGAAGTTACTTTTACCCAATTTTCTACTTACGTTGTCCTCCCCGGCCTTTAGTAGAAGTCTTCTCTGCTTGTTTCTTCTGTCCAGCACCCATCCCTGGATTCTCAATAGCTCTCTCTTCAGTTATTTGGATTTTGTTTTGTGATATCTTCTGTCCCTTTTTGTGCTCCCCCTGAGGCACTTCATTTTCTTTCATTTCAGAATGCACCTGCAATTTAAACATACCTTGTTTAAGCAGTTTGTTCCAACTGGATATAAAGCAAGGCTGTTGTTCTGAGGACAGTGAGTCAGTGGAACAGATTACCCAGAGAGGTGCACAGCCTTCATCCTCAAGGGTTTTCAGCATCAGATTGGATAAAGCCTAAAGCACTGGGCTCTAACCTCACAGCTGAGTATGCTTTGACTGAGAGATTGAGCAAGAGATTTTCTGAAGTCCAAACTGAGTTAACCTGTGAAATACTTACCCTGTTACTTCACAAACTTAGATATATTAGAAAGCTTTGACCCCTATAGCTCTCACATTTTAGTATAAAATTGCCTTTATGGATTAAAATTAATGATTTGTAAGTAAGATTAAATTCACTGAAGATGTTACTTTTTACTGCTGTATTTTTGCATACTGTACAATTCTCTAACACTAAAAGACTAATACTCCTCATTTTCTCATTCCCCTCCTCTACCTCAGTAAAAGTCTTTCAGACAGTTCTTAATTTACCTACTCCTTGTAACTCAAAAAAACTTCAACCTTCATCTCACCTGTAACTTTCTCTCCCTAAGTCACACAACCCTCACAATAAAAAAAATTATGACATTTAGGCAATTGTGCAACTTCTGATAATTTTTTCTGTACCAAAAAAGAGAGAACAGCATTATTTTAGACAAATTCTGAAACTAGCCTAAGATTCAGAAAATTACAATGAACTAGCAGCCTTACACTCAGATAAGGTGTTTGGAATTGTATATTTCTTACAGGAATTTATTGTCTTGAAGCAGTGACTAGAAGTAATGTCTGTTTATTATGGGACAGTGCATAAAGGGACAAAAGCCAGTGCTACAAAATACAAAAGACAGTACCAGAATGCGTGCATATCAATTTCTGTATGTGTCTATACACACACATATGAACACATACCATCTATAAATGGTGACTGAAAAGAAATCAAGTGTGCTTAGATTATGCTCAGAGGAAGGGAGGACAGCACACAAAAGCATGCCAAGCAAATCACCTGTTTCTCATCTGAAAGCACTGGGTTTTCTTCACTGCTGTTAGTTTCCTCATGGGAGTTCCTCTTTTTTCTGGTTATTTTCTTATCCTGACCACGTCTTTTTGTAATGAAACACACTGAATCAGACATTTCCTCCTGATTGCTCAGTTCTTCTGATTTGATGGAAGCAGATGCACTATTTACAGGATCCTGTAGCAGAAAAATACTGTAACTGGAAGATATCTGACACAAATATGAATTAAGTACTCCAGGGACAGTTTCAATTTTATTATCTAAAAAAGTATTTTATACTAAGGATAAACAGAAGCATACCACATAGCAGCATAGTAATCAAGAAACAGGCACAATATAGATTCCCCTAAGCATCAAAGCTCATTGTTCGGAGACTTTAAATACAATTCCTATGACTGGTTTATCACATTTCATTTTAATGATTTATAATAATCTAATATTTTATTTTTGAAATCTAACTTGCATGATGTCATGACCCTCCCATATTTGTACATTTGTGGAATACTCTTCAGCAGTAAAAACAGGGCTCCTTTCCTGCTCATGAAAATTTTTAAAAAGCTGACAAGGTTCCTCAAGCCTTTAAAGATTTTTAAGGGATGCACTTAAAGGGAGATGTATTTTAGAAAAAGGAGATAACAAATTACCTTAATCAAAAACATTGCCACATTCAACAAAACAATTCAGCTTACAGAAAACTTTTTAAAAAGTTAAGAAAACAAAACACTAAGAGGCAAATAAAGGAAGTAGCACAACTATATTGCTTTTATTATAGGGAAAGTAAACTGTAGTAGATGCAAAATGCTTTCCAATTAGTACCTAGTCCTCTTCATTTAGGCATGCAAAATGAATAAAATATTTTTATATTTGCTACTGAATAATGTCTAGAGCCAAACAAGCAAGAATTAAGGTTTGTTCAGTGGAAATAAAATGTCATTGTTCACAGAGAATAGGTTTGTACTGATGCTGAAAAATTCATTGGTAATTTTGGCAGCTGAAAGGAAATCAGCTTTCAGTCATAGAGGCCGCTTCAAAACTAACATTAGCATATCTATTTCCATCAGCATATAAGTACTTAAAACTAAGGGCACTAAGAAGAAAAAGGTATTTCTATTACAGTTCCCATTGTGGTCAAAATCACTCTTCAGGACATGCTCTGCTCTATGGGTTACAAATTAAGGTTTACATTTCTTAAAAGCAAGGTTTGATTTATTATGTTACCATATTTTCACTTTCTTCATTTGTCCTTTCAAAGTGTTGCTTCAATGATTCCAATAATTTGTCCGCCTGAAGAGAAATCGAAACAACCCATGAACCAAAGAGTCCATTAAGTCACTGAAGAGCTGCCCAGGCCCAACCCACATCCTAGAAACTGATCCAAGGAGCGAGCAGAACATTTCCCGAATCCAACAGCATAAGGCATACCTAGGACTCGTTCGAGTCAGTCAGTGAGAGAAAGCGCCTAAGGCCGCAGATAAATCTGCAGCATATTCTCCACGGAGGCACAGCGGCAAATTTCCTTGACTAGGTTTCCCCTGCTCTATTGTCGAGGAGGTTAATTGTTCAAGGAAGGAGACAAACTGTTTTAAGCCCCACAGCGCAGCTGAACTTGAATTAAAATTGTGTCAAATTTCTGCAATTGCTTCTGCCTTGCCCATGCTACATGGAAAGCATTCTTTTCATCCCTCGCATACGTTCAGCAGTAACAGTAATAAAACAACGATGAAAACACACCATTGATAATTCAAGCTACGAAAGACTCTTAAAGACCTAAGTAGACAGGTCAGCACAAACACAAAGAAAGTACCCGCAAAACTAACATTTCCAGAAGAGCTCTGAGTCCTGTGAGGACAGGGAACTGCCTTGTCCACCCAAGATCTTTCTTTTAAGGCCCTGTGAGTTGTGCCATTGCTGCAGGAGGAGCCGGGCTGTGCCTCACAGCACCCGCAGCTCCAGGCAGGACCCTGGGGCGCCCTTAAGCTTCTCGCCCTTAAAAGCGACCGCCCTCTCCTAGCGTAAGGTACTCTCTTGTCACTGTTTCTCCCTGTCCGAGTCGTCAGAAAATAAAACCAAAACCAACAAAGCCACACAAACAAACATAGCTACCCGCACCGGGGACACCGGCGTGGGGAGCAGCCGGGCCAGCAGAGGAGGGGCAGCCGCCCCTTCTCGACGCCCGGGGGACACCGGAGCCCCGCTCTCCCCCTCCCCAGGTGCGTGCCCGCACCCCGGACGGCAGCGCAGCCCCTGGGCGCCCCAGGGCGAAGTCACCGCCGCACCCCGCGGCGCTCCAGACGCAGGAGGGTGCGCCCTGGGAGGCTGGGGACGCGTTCTCGCTACCGGGCACAGGGGCACCCCAGAACCCGGAGCTTCGTGGGCAGCGCTCCCTCGCAGCCACCCCCGCCTCACCCGAAGGTTGGCCCTCAGCCCAGCGGCCTTGGCGATACGCTGGAGCTCGGCGTATTTCAGCGCCTCCAGGGGCTGCAGCGAAGAGAGCGCCATGACAGCAACTCCCACCGAGCACCCTGCCCGCCCGCGCCAACCGACACCGCTCGCACCGCCCCCGCCGTTCGAACTGGCCCGCTGCACCAGCCCATTGGCTGGGCCACGGAAGGGGCGTGGCTAGAGGGGGCGGAGCTCGGGAGCCGCCAATGGCGGCGCGGTCCTCTGCGCGTGCTTATTTTCAAGCGCCATGAGGCGTTCCCGGTAGAGAAAGTCGCGCGCGTAGTGGCCCGCTGCCCAATAGCCGCGGGCGGCCAGGATTGACGCGCCCACTGACCAATAGCAATGCAGATATGCGAACCATCCTCCAATCGCGATACTCGGGGGTGGGCCCCGCGTCCGAACGCTTGGCGGGAGGAGATGGCGGTGCGGCAGCGGCTGCGACAGCTGTTCCAGGACCCGCAGCCCATCGGGGCCATCGTGCTGGAGCGGACGCCCGCCCCCGCCGCTGCTGCCTGGGCTTCGCCGCCACCACCCCCGCCCCCGCCGCCGCCGTCCCCGCCCCTGTCACCGCCGTCGTCTTCCTTGCCGCCGGCCGCGGTGCCGGCATCGCCGCCGCGGCGGCAGGGTCCGCTGCCGGAGGAGTGCGCCGTGTTCCACTGCCGTGGCTGCTGGACTGTGCTGGGGGACTCGCTGCAGCTGTGCGGGCAGGAGCCGCCGGGGCTTAGCGTCCTCATCTGCTTCAGTCAGTGCCTCGTAGGCCGGCGGGTGCTGCGGACGCGCCTCTACCTCGCGCGGGTGTCGGGCGGGCAGCGGCGACCGGGCGGGGGCTGGTCCGGGGGCTCTCGGCTGCAGCGCGTCTCTCTCTTTCTCCTCAGAAGTCACCAGCGATGTGACCTGGGAGGACTCGCTGCTGGTCGGCCTGGAGGGAGCCCTCCTGGGATGGTGCGTAGCTCCCGTAGTTCTGGCCTTGGGCCTGCCCTGTGCGGCAGCCGCGGTAAATCGTGCGGGAAAAGCCGGGCTCCGGCACGGCCGGGAGCTCCTCCGGCTTGTGCGCGGGGGTTCTGCGGGGCTTGGCAAACTCCCAAGTGACTTCTATGCCTGTTTCACACTTCGGATGGAGAAACTTTTTGTAGGGATGTAGTTTTCACTTGAAATCAAAGAGTTTTGTTGCTATAACCTCTGTAGGTAGAGAGAAAAATTCGAGCAAAGCAGTAGAAGACAGCAAAACTTGTAGGTCCCTTTGTTCCCTTCCTAAAAGGTGTCTTACTTAAAACATCTCTGCGTTTTATTTGGTTTGGTGGGGTTTTGGTTGGTCTTGGGGGGAGGGATGGCTATTGGTTGGTTGGTTTTCCTTAATACTGAAAATAAAAAAATCGTGCTGCCTTATTCAGGAACCTACCGTTTGCAAGGTTTGGTAACTCAGTCTAACGGGAAGAAAGTGAAATGTCATCTAGGGGCTTACAGAAACAGTAGCTTGTTTAAATGATTTTTAAAGGCTATTTTACAAACTGTCAGGACTGGGAACTTTTTCAATTTAAGACTTGCTCTTCTTTTGACTTTTTTCCTTGCCCCTCCCTCTGGATGGGGTAAGAATCTATTTTATTAGAAAGAATTTACAACTAGCACATGCATTGCTTTATTACTTAAATCATGTTTGAGTAGAATACTCTAAACCATTCTGTGATAATAAGATGTGCATTTTCTTCCTTAATAGCAACTTCACTTATTAGATAGGTTACTTCTTTCACAATATGCCCAGTTTCTTATGGTCATGTCGGTTTTGTACATATTACTTTTTTGAGGAGGAGGTGTTATTATGCCTTGGATTTTGCCTAAAGGGAACTGAAGATTTTATGTCCTCTGACAAATATACAGCATCTGTGGTTTCAAAAGCTTCTTTTTAAAAACATTTCCCTATCTCCTTTTAGTGCTTATTATTTATTATTCTGTCGGTCCTGTGGCTCGGCCGTGGGCTTCATTCTTTATTCTTCTGGCAGTGAGCTGGCACATCTCCGGGACTTGTTCTGTTTCTTCAAGGACAGCATCATGTGGTGAGTACACTGCATTCTTATGGTCAGTGACTTCACAGGTAGCTGTAAGTTACTGTACAACTGGCCTACAGCTAACAAAAGTGGTTTGACTTATGTCTGAGCACATTGATATGGGATTTTAATATTCTTGATGTCTAAACTGTGTTGATGTGAATCCCTTTGATTTGCCTTACGCCTCTTGAGTGTCCTTGTGTAATGTAAGACTTCATATTTACTTGTATGCAATGCTGAAATCTCTTCAGTTCCAGATGCGTTTAGCTAACCTAAGGTATCAAAGTGATTCCATGACAGGTTGAGGACTTGACTATAGCAGCAGTAAATTACTTACAGCAGGTGATGAGAGGATCTTGATTCCAAAATAAAACTATTGTTATGTTTTGAGTATTTTCATAATTACTATTTTTGGCAACAACCTTGTATCTGCTTTAAAATCATCTTAAATCATCTGTCTAAATAGTGCAACTATTGGTTTTTAACTGTTTTTCTTGTGGTTTTTTTTTCCTTTCCACTTTTGTTTTCCAGTTACTTCTTAAAAAATCAAATGATTATAGAAGCTTCTAAGGTGACTTTTCCAGCTGTGACCTTAAAGAAACACATGCAGAATGTAAGAAAATGCTGGTAATTCTGGACATTAATTCAAAAACATTGACAGAAATGTGGGGGTTTTTAGTGCCTAAGATTGAGAAAATGCTGCCTCATTTGACAATAGTTGATTCAATGCATGAGATGTGAAACACTTTCTAAGACCACTAAAGTGCAGAACGTACCCAATTCTAGCTAAATTTTGGCAGAAGTTTGTTATCCTTTTATCTCTATACCTTGCAAAAAAAAAAACAAATCTAAAATCATTTATACAGACTTGGCCTAAGTATTATGACTTGTGTTGTCATTGTTGAAGAATTTAAAAATAGATTTTTTTTTTGAAAGGGATTTTTAAAGTCATATTTTTATGTCTGTGTAAGATCAAAACACCATGGCAGTATTTGTAGTTTCAGAGAGAATTCTAGGACCTCCCTCCTGTTTTGGTGTTCAAAGTGGATGTTCTTATCTGTAACCTGACTAGTTGTTATGTTAGTTAATCGCCTGTGCCTTAGCTCAAATAAAGTTATTGTGTGTCGGAGACAGCCAGAATATCCAGTATTTATGTGATAATTTGTTCATTACTTTTTTGTGGGGCTGAGCTTAGGTTTAGGCCTTTTATATTTCTTAAGTTTTATCCTCTTCCAAGTCATCTTCCAGTTTCTATAAGATCAGAGTGTTTTTACAGGTCAAGTGAGGCTAAGATACAAAAATCTTATCTAGATAAAACTTCTGAAGTTGAGACATGATTTAGTAATAATACATAATTGAAGTAAAAATATGACAGCACTTCACTGCAAACACAAATTACGTGACTGTAGAGAGTTCCCTTGTTGACTAGAACAAGCTCAAGCATCTGGCCTTTGCTTTTTGAGACATTATGTCCATATGTATTCCTAAGCTAATGATGAAACAGTTTGTCCACATATTGTCAAAGAAAGTCTCTGTCTGTGTGAAAACTTGAGTTAACTAGGAAAGATCAGGTTCATCATAGTAAAACTGCGACAACTCCATCTTCATCTTCCATTGTGTCCCTGGAAGGGCTGATACTGGTACACATTGATCCATCTCCAGTTTTTAGTGCAGCCCTCTGATCTGGGTGCTGTTTTTGTCAGTACTAAACATGCAGTATAGAGATCAAGCCCTCTATATTTTCCCATCTTGAAAGTGAGCTGCTCTTTAGCCACTTTGAGTGGGGTGCAGGTTATTCAAAGATCCAGTGTTAGGACTTTTTTTGCTAATTTTAATACTCTTCTCTTTTTTCCTAGATGAAAGAAAAGCTTGTGGAGTTAAGTAGTCGTGTAGAATTATTGACAAGGAAGCTGGATAAAATAATTATGTAACAAAATAATTATGTAACAGAATGGCAAAACTCTTCAACAGATGCAGATGACCTGCTATCAGGATATGCAAGAGTTAATGCCAACTAATACCCATTTTCAAGAACTGCTGGAGTTGTTTCTGCATCTCTGCTGAGTTTGGTCATTACAGAGAAATAATGCACCAGACCAGGTCTGAGTATTGATCTGTCACTTTATCTGTGTGTGGAAAGAACTGATGATGAAGTGCATCCCTTCAGGAACACCTGATAATCTGACATACTAAAGTTATGCTTGGAAGTCTGAATAGCTCACCCATGCAGCATGTTACTCTCTGAGGCTGTGTAAATCTGACTTTGGTTTTTCTAAAGACTTCGGGGAAAACCAGCCTTTGAAATACTGAAGTCAGGTTTCTGGAGTTATGCAAAATATACTTAACAAGGTGATGGTATTCAAGAGCCACCATTACAAACTGAACATTCTTAAAACCTAAAGCTCTTGTCCTATCTTTCAATACAGACACATTGTTAATGGCAGCCTTGTTAATGGCAGCTAGATTTTGGTGAAGTGGCTCATTAGCTACATCTGATGTGTGAGCCACTGCTATATGGACTCCTGAAGAGTTTTGAGATTTGCTTGTGTGCGTTGCCTGCAAAAGCAGCAGACAAGCACGTCACAGATGCTGCAATATTCTCAGAGCGTAAGTCAGGATGGCACCATGGAGGCAGAACGCAAGGTTTTGAATTTCAGGTAAAGGGCAACCCATGTGCCTGCCAAGTCTGCTGAAGTGCAGCCCCAGGAACAGGACTGAGTCAAATTTTGCCAGCTAAGGCTGTGAGCAACTGCCTTCAACAGATTTGAGTGTTTCTTTCTGGAGCGTTAACTATGAAACCAAGGAACAATCTTCTGCACAATCCTGGAAGCACTGCTTTCCTGAAGTTATGACTGCCTGTTGCCTTCAAATGGCCAGTTAGGATGTTTCATAAAAAATACCTACTCGTGGCTCATTGGCATCTCTCTCTGTTGAAAATTGGTTCTGCTTATTTCCAAATATTTAGAAAATAAATTTACAGATAATAAAGCACTACTTACCCCTTTTTATTGGGACAGAATATCCCTAATTCTTGTTTTTTGGAAGATTAAGGTCCCTTTTCTCTCCCCTTCCTTCCCTAAAGGGCTAATGTTTTTCCCCAGTGGAATAATGAATTTTATGGAAAGTTTAGTAGTTTTCTGTTGTAGTCTAGAGAGGATTCTATTTTCTTGATCAACTTAATTCCAGTGATGCAAATTGCCTTCTCCTAACATATATATGACCAGCAGGTTGCAGACCTTGTTGCTGCTACTGCCAGTTCTGTGTTTTGTCTTATTTGTAAAATAACTGCTTGGAGCAGAGGGTACAAAACTCACTGTAAGGCACCTCAGAGGTTTTAGGTGGGCAACTGGTACTTAGCCTACTACTAATGCTCACTGTATTTCTGTTTGGGAATTCTTATGGACTCAGTTCATTGTCATAAGCAAAACCATGGAGTATCAACAGTCGTTCTGCAAGGAGAGCAGGGACTCTCACAAATTCTAATACCACCTTTGTAGTACTTCCTTAGTGCTTGTGTTGTTGTTGCATGAGTCTAAGAAATGTGATTGATAATGGGACTGTTTGCTTTTGCCCTTTCATTCTAATTTCTGCATTGAGACTGGTTCTTGCTATTTTATGTCTGTATTATGAATAATGCTAAATTGTTTTGTTTCATTAGTGTTGATCCTTAAAAGGAAACTGTCAGTTACATTTTTGTACTATATTTAAAGTTGTGAAGAAGGAACTTCTTAAATAAAAGCTAATTTCTGAAACTCAGAAATTCATATAGTCCAAATCACTGCCAGTATTATGTGAGTCCTAGGCCTACTCTTTTCCTTCTTTTCCTTTGATTATTTTGCAGAAAAAACCCATCACATTATCTCGCTTGGGTCCTCATTTGTTATGAAGCATTAAAGTATCGGTTCCACAAATTATATTAGGTATCATGGATTTAAATAAATAATAAGTATGTGCTGAAGAATAGCTGGTAAATTTTTAAACTGCATTTCTGTAATCTTTGAAACTGGGAGGACCTCCACCAACCACAGAAGAAATTTTTTGAAGTGCAGTCACAATATAAAAAAAAGTGTAATCACAAAACAATAAACAATACATCCATAAAACATTCTTCTGAGGGGCCTTGTTACTATTAAGCAATCAATACAAGAAGCAGAATTTCTGCTACCCTCTAAAATAACCCTTGAAGGGACTGAAGTGGAATAACAATTTTTGTTTAGCTGCTATTTAAGTCAGAAGCTCTTGTGCCTGAAGTCTACTGGGACAGCTGGCCCCAAAGCAGATATCCAGCATATATGAATTCAGCTCAAGTTGTTAAGTTTTGACAGAGCTACAGCAAGTACACCTCAGAAGTGGAGTGGAATGTACAGTAATTTGGTTAATTTGTCTTCTGAACAGACGACACATCCAGTTTTAGTGCATTCTCAGCCTGTGCTGCTTTATTGCTAAAAAAGTTTTTATACAGGTGCAGAGTTTCCAGGTTCATTTTTAAACAGTTCCTCTTTACAGTGTCAAAAGAATAAAATCTTATCTTGAAATCCTCAAAGATGCATAGATATAAAAGCAAGCTGCCTTTTGGAAAAAATCAGAATTTGCAGGGAGACATTCTTTCACTGTTACCATGTAAAACATGTGCAATGGGAGTACATAGTTTGTAGTCACACCAATAATTTCCTCCACTAATCCATGCAAGAATGCTATCAGAAATTCAGTGTAAGTATTCTTTAGCCTATTAAGTACTAAGGTAATTTTTAGGAATTTACACCTAATACTTCTCCTTTGCTGTTATGTTTTTCAAAAGGAAAATAACTTCACTGATATCCTGAAGTAGCCTATTCCCCAGGTTATACTGAAGGGAAATACAAAGGATACAATGGCTTACTCATCACAATATTTAACAGACTTTAAAACCATGCATAGTGTTCTAAAGAATTAAGAATGACCGTGGTTAACCACTGGGCTAACTTTGTGTTAGAAATTTTCTTGTTTCTTGAAGAAGTTGGCTCAAAGACTTTCATTCAGTCTAACTTGTGATACCATGGAATAGTTATCTTCTCTTATAAAATTTGTATCTTCATTTGGCAATCCTTACATATTTCAAAAGAGCATTCATGGGTAAAACCACAATTCCCATTCCAAACCCAAAACACAGTGCTTTATGAATGGTTGGCTATGAAGTATGAACAGGAGTTAACTTGACACACCTTTTTTTCCTCCGAGACACTTTCTACTTAAGAGAGAGGACTGAGCCTCTGTACATGGAGAAGTGTTCTGCACAAGTTAAGCCCACTTACAAAATTAAGCTAAGCTACAAGAATGGAATTCTGCAATTACAAGCCAGTATTCTACACGTTTAATTACAAGTTTAAACTTGGAAAAGTATTAGTGATGCAGGCTATGCCACACATTCTCTTATTTTAAAACTGCCAGCAGAAATTGACTGCATTATCCACTAAGAGACTTGAATTACAGAGAACACACTAAGAGTTTACAGAAAGATGGCACCCAAATTCCCTTTTATCTAGTAAGCGAAATAAAGAAAAAAAGACAATTGCAACCTCTGTTGCAGAAGATAAAGACCTTCAGTGATCAAATCTAATTTTCTGTTTTTAAAAATCTCTTTAAAGAACTTAAAAAATATACAACATTACCAGTATTTTCAGGTTCATTCCTGCAGATGCCATTATTGCTGGCTGGTACCAGTATGCTTCAGTACAGCTGCCTGTGTGGCTAGAGTTACCTGAAAATACTGTCTCTTAAAAAGCTATTCAACACCTGAAAAATATCTACTGTGCTTATTAATTTCAGTATTCTCCAAATAATTTCTCTCACCACACTCAAGCTATTACTGCTGTCTGGCAAATACTACACTCAGTTTGAGTCTGTGGTTTCTGTTACTCGTTTGTCGCCTTGGGTTTTGGGGTGATTTTTTTGTGGGTTTGGTTTTTTTCTTTCCCACCAGTCGCTCCCCTGCACCATGTAAGAAACTCTGCACCCTCTTCCTTGCTACAGCTGCAGCAGGTGAGAAACCTCATCTCGCCTCTAAACATGCTTAGTTCATGCCCTGCTTTTTACATGCTCAGGACAGTGATATGAACCAGACTAGAGGTTATAAAGGCGAGTTCTGCTGATCCCGGTTCCTGATTTACAGTTTTGGTGCCATGCTTCTGTCCCTATCTATACATTCTGCCCCCTTCTCTACAGAGGCAGCACATTCTCTAAAAAAAACCCAAAATTTGAGAATCAAAGCAGGAAGTTCAAGCTATTGGTATATTAATTCCTATTGCTTCATTATGTATAAATGCATATCTCAATTTACTGGTAATAACTACATTACACTAGACATTTTGAATCATGCATAATTAGAACACTAGCTCTAAGATTTGGTTTGTGGGCCTGTGCCGCTTTCCTTCAGTTTCTCCATGCAGTTCTTCATGCCTAAGGCATTACAAACTACCTGTCTTTCATTTGACCTGCAAACACACTCATTTGGAGGGGAACTGGAGAGAAGCAGACAGGATTTACATAGGACACACTGAACAGAAAGTTACCTTCTATCTTTAACTTTAGATGGGGTAAAAGTCTTGGGAGTTTGTCTATATTATAACCTGGTACATAGGCTCAGAGACAGAAACACGCTCTGCTGACATCATGAACACTGACACTTCTCTAAAACGCAGGAGGAAGTGTAGAGACTGAATGGGAACAGATATCAGAATCCATGGTTAGTGTCTGCACTGTTGAACAAGACACCCTGATTCAACTGTTGGCTTTTGTGTGCCAGTCAAAGTGCTACAGGGACAAAATGCTGGATCATTCCATGAAAGAAATCCAGTGGAATCTAAGTTGAATGTCATTCTGCAGCTCTGTACCTGATCAGCAAGCAGGATTATTAGTTTTGGAGGAAGACCAGCCAGTTTCCTAAGGATGCAAG